ACATAATTAACAATCAAAAAGTTCATATGCTCAAATCTTCTTCTAATCATGCAATTTTAACAGATAAGATTTGATATTATAATAATCCATGGCATATGATGACAAAAAATAAGTCTTTTCAAATGTCATTATACAATAAAATAAAAGTATCGTTTAAAGATGCAAACAATGATAGTAATTAGGATTAAAAAAATTAGGTTTGTAGTGAACAACGTACAAGTGATTGAGGAAACATTAATTAACTACGATAAATACATTAGCATTCAACTACGTATATAATTTTATAAAAAATATTTAATTAAGAAAAATAATAAAATTATCTCTAGAAAATAATTAATAGATTTGATAGATTCATTTTAATAGTTATAAAAAAGTGAGACATACAAATGTAGAAAATATATATATATATGTATATTATTTATTTAATTTTCTAATAAGATATTTTAAATAATATAATTTTAAAAATAACACATTTAACTTTATGTATGAACACTTGTGCCTGTTTTGAATTATTTTATCGAACTTCAAATCAAATTTGGGATTATCAACAATTTTGTATTTAATTATTTTAATAATATTTTAATTGACAACTCATTACACTACCACCTGCACCTATAAAATAAAGCATTGAAAAGCTGAAGTCTACAACACCAAGCTAACTTTTATATATAGGTACCTAGAGGTTATAAAGGAGAAAAAGGACAAGACAACACAAAACGAAGAATCAAGAACTATCACTGTGCTAATAATTCCTATTAATTTGTTTTGATGCACTATTATTATTATTAAAATTGGTTTTTAAGAGTTAATATATTTATATTATTTTCATAATGTGTATTTTATGTTTAGCTTTTTAGTGTTCCATGATAATATCTCGTATTTAATATTACCATGCCTAAAATTATATATAACGATATTATTTTTAAAAGTTATATATTTTAAAATTACACATAAAATTTGATTAAATATACAACATTATTAGAATTCTCATCCTCTGTTTATAATTTTTTTCATTTAAGATTTTTCACGTGAAATATCAATATTTTTTCTTTTATATTTTACAATGATTTCTATGGCGATTTTCTCCAAAAATCACTGGTGATCGGTATATATATCGATCTAACACCGGTCATATTATATTTTCTGATCTAACATCCGTAGCAGTAAAGCGCACCACCTGAATCGCACTATATGCTGATTTGGCGTCACGTGGAGTATAGCGTGCCCCTTGTACCGCGCTATACGTTGACTGGGTTACACGTGGGGTATAGCGCGCCCCCTGCTCCGTGCTATACGTCAGGTAGAGGTATAGCGCGGATCAGTAGCCGCGCTATACGCCGTAGCAAAATTATATTTAACGCGATTCCTGATCCGTGCTATATAATAATTACATATAACGCGGTGCAGGTACCGCGCCTTATATGTTTATAAATATCTCCCGTTCTCGCATTTCTCCTCACATCTCCTCGCATCTCTCCTCTCTTATAAATTAATACAATAATTCCGTCAACGAGTAATAATTCTGGCAATCTTCTTATATTTGATTTAGAAATTCGTGCGATTTTTCGTTATAAGGTAATTTTGTTATAATTTTTTAATTATACTTATTGTTTATTATCATTATTTGAAAAAATATTATACTAATTATTTTTAATTAATTTTATGTTTGTAAAATTGAAAAGCGGGAGCATACGTCGAAATAATTTTGTGATGCAAGTAATAATATAAAATTATATTATTTAAATTATTTACGTTGATGTGTAAAAAAATTTTGTGTTATATTTTCGTTCATATATAATTTATTTAATCAGGTTTGTTTAAGTTATTTTTTTGTAGATATAATATTGTCGCACTTTTAAACTCAAAGAATGGCGCGACTTTCATCTATTGTTTATTATGATGGTGAAATTCGAGAAGATGAAATCGGCGTTGTATTTGTATCAAATGAGCATGTTAAAATATCATTCAAGAGAAACATAACTCTTGAGGAGCTAATAACGAAGATTTCGAGGAAGATTCATGTTGGAAGTAACAGAAGAATGTCGTCGTTGCAGTACAGATTTCCAACATCATTGTTGCCATTAACTTATACAGCGTTCAAACTTTCGAACAATGATGATGTTCAAATGATGGTTGAAGCTCAAAGTAATTATTCAGACGCCGTTATTGAGGTGTATGCACATTTTGTTCAAGTGTGTAATGTTCGGGGTCAATCTTTAAGCTCACACTATGGGCTGGTTGAACAAGTTGATCAAGTTGACAACCCGACTACAGTAATGTGTAATGATTTTAATGCCATAATGGGGAGACATTCATCCGCAACTCCTTACGATATGTACCGAGGTGGGTCCATGAACAATCCGTATGGCAACACCGCGTCCAGTTCAAGGAGAGGGCATTTATCTGCAAATTTCTTTGACCATATGGAGATGCCATCGACGCAACCATCTGTGCAGTTTCCATTTGACACCATATGTGCTGAACAAAACGTTAAAATGTTACCGTATTAGCAAAGTGTAGAGATATATGATTTCCATCCGAGCGAAGTAGAATGTCTTCAATTATATATCTGCAAAAGAATTATATTAGTAAAATATTAAATAAAGTAAATGCATAATAGTAAAAATATTATAAAATATACCTTAAAAAATAGAGTATTTGAGAGAAATTTAGAGAATTTGGTGTGATAAAAGTGATTGAGGATGGGGGTATTTATAGGGAGGATGGGGACGTGAAGGGATGGGTATTTAGGGGTATAGCGCGCCCCCTTCACCGCGCTATATCTCACGTGTTAGACACCCAGGTATAACGCGGATCAGGGGGCGCGCTATACCCACGTGGCGCCAGATCACCGTATATCACGGGGCAGGGGGCGCGCTATACCCACGTGGCGCCAAATCAACATATAGCGTGGTTCATGGGGAGCGCTTTACTGCTACGGGTGTTAGATCGGGAAATATAATCTGACCGGTGTTAAATCGATAAATATACCGATCACCGATGATTTATTGGGAAAATTGCCGATTTCTATTATCATTATCTTTGTTTATTACAAGGGAGAGAATTTGAGTTTAAACATACGGATGAACATAAAACACGTCTTAATTTAGGGAGGGATTTGGCCTAATTTTAAGATTTTATTGGGAAAAGAATATCACAATTTCGATGAACCGTTTCATATTCTAAAGCAATCATGCATGAATAAATTAACGTAGGTAAAGTGGTAAGGACAACTAAACAATATTAATAAAAAAAGTTTAACGAAAGTAATCAGTCATACGTTGTCTTCACTTTTCATGATTGGTTTCCGGAGGCAAGTACAATGCTTACACGTGACACGACACTCACAGAAAAAGTATAAATACTATAAATAAATTAGTTTCACACATGAACAGAGAGAAATATATGGGATCAAATAATCAAATCTGTCAGCAATGGTGAATTAATTAAAAATATTGTACCCAATAATTGTTTTACACAAATTATAAGCAATCTTTAGTTAGAAAACAATACGATATGATTTAGATACCAATCAATTGAAGTTTAGTTTACAATTATGTTATGTAGTGCATCTTGTCAATAATTAAAAGATATCATAAATAAATATTATCTTATAATTATTTTAAATTATTTTAAAAAAAACACTTAAAAGTTTTTTCCCCTCTTCTAGCTAAATCTTCACGAAGAGAAGGATAATCTCCGCATAAAAAACAGGTTTGATAAATAAGAACCAAGCCACTTGTTTGATTTTATGATCAATCGTTAAAAGAGTTATAAATTTAGTAATCGATTAACTAAATATTTATAAATTTTTTATTTATATTGTATAAAACTTATTAGTTTTATATTTATAATAACTATTTGATGAACTTAAATAAATAATTGAAATTGATTTTCCACTTTTTTGATACTTTTCTCAATAAATAAATATGAAAAATGGATTTTCATGTTTTTCAGTTAATAATAACATATACACACCTTATAGATACAACTATTTGAATCCAGATTTTCTAAAGAAAACAAATCTCTTCTCGTTAAGCCAAAATCTCTTTATATTCACAATGCTTCATGTCTCTATTTTTATTTGACTTAATTAAAAAATATATATCTTATCAAAATCCATTTCTTTCTCGTTTTCAGATCATTGATTAAAAAATCTAATAAATATGTGATAAATGGCATTCATGTTTGTTTGTATGTTATTCGTTTTCTTTTTTTTTTCCAGTTTCTTAAGAAAACAAATATACAAATTAAAAGAAAATTCAAAATTTTATTTTTGAGAAATTAAAAATTCTTAAGTCTTAAATACTTTGATTTCGAGTTTATTATCGATGTATCAATTTCGATCTATATCTTTTCATTCTCATTGTTTTAAAAATAAAAACCCTAAATCTAAAAAATATATCTAAAAAACACTTCAGCTTTACTTATAATGACGAGATGGGTAAAAAAATTAAAGAAATTGAATAACTCATTATTGGAGGATAACGATTTTTTAACAAACGGTTTAAAAATAGTTATAGAATGAAATGTTAGACACTTATCTTGATAAAAAAAAAAACTTTAAATACCTAAATTAAAAATGTGATATAGTTTAATTACTTAAATGTAAGTTAACCCTCTGTCTTTTTGCGAAACCTTTTACCATCTCATCTCTGCCGCTCTATTTTCCAAATCTATTGGTCGTCGTCTTTGTTTCAAAACCAACCAAACTATTAAAGCAATAAAAAGATCAAACAAATAAATTAGAAAGAAAAAAAAATCTGAATCAAGAGCATCAACTTCTCACCATTTTTTCAGATTTTTTTATTTGGTTTTCAGTTGAATTTTCCCATTAAAATTATGCCCTTCTTCAAGACTGGATGCTAATCACTCAAATCTCCAACCTTGATGAAGAGATTTGGGAGATTATAAAAATTTCAGAAGTATTTTTAAAGAGACGAAGCATTGTGGATAATTGGAAAGGGATGTAGATTGACATAGTGTACTTGTTTCGTCTAATGAACATACCAATAAAATAATTTGAATTCAACTTTCTGGATATATAAGCATGAACTAATGAAATGGATGATGAAAATGAACAAATAATGAAACAAGGCAAAGGAAAAGAGTTCCAGTAAGGAAGGTGAAGGCAATGGTTGCCCCAACCAAACCCAAAATCTCAAACAACTCTGATCTCTCCTTGTCTCTTTTGAGCTTGTTGTAATTATAGCCAACTCCATAATTCCAGCCATACTTGCATCTGCAACATCTTTCAAGCTCCTCCTTCATCTTCACCTGCTCTATTCTCTTCCTTAATACCCTCAAATTCGCATCCACCCCATTACTTGATCTCCCTGCTCACCGTTGAGTTTCAACACAATTTTAAGACCAAAAAGAAAGAAAAAAAGATGAAAATGCCAGTATTTTATTACTTACCTCCATCTCTGCAGCTTTGGGCTCTGATAACTTGAAAGGGTTGGCGATTATAATGCTTGAATGATGGAGAAACTATAGCGCAAGATGAAGGTGCTAAAGAAGAAGCCATTCTATTTTGATTAGGTTATTATGGTTGAGTTTCTTCAAATGCAATAATTTTTGGAGGTGGATTTTGTATATATATGTATATTCTTTGCTTTGAAGTTACGTTCCGAAGAAAATAATCTCGTTGGCTGCTGGTTTTGCTCCAAATCTGATCAGGTTACTTATGACAATGCATATCACCTTTAATATATAGAAAAAAAGGGTTTTTTTTTCATAGTTTTTAAAGGGAATGTTGGTCTCTAGTTCAAACAACTGCAGGATGTATATTATCCAAGGTCAAGAAAATATATAAATAAAGTATATTGAAAAAGAGTTTATTTTTAGCCTAATTTTAATGATTAAAATTGGCTAAAACATCTAATTAATTTTTTTATATAAATTTATTGTATCTATTTTATCTTTTCAATTTCTATTTAAAAATTTTATTTTATCTATTGAGTTTAATTTAATTAATATTATTTTTATGTAATATATATATAAGAGATGAGATTTAATATATAAATTTAAAATTTAAAATGTAGTAAATCAAGACTTTAATTTAATACTGTTTAAGGATTTCTGAAGAAGAAAAAAATAAGTATTTAAATTATATTCTTTGCTAATTTGAGGTGATTAAAGCATATTTAGCTCAAAGTTGTAACCTTTTTTGAGATATATGCAATTTTTGAGATTTTATTTTTGCAGAGAAAGTGATCGTCTTTTAAGATACATCGAGTTTTGAGATATATATATATATATTGAATTATGAGATACATGTGATATCATATATTTATATTATTTGTGATTTCAATGTTTGTAATAAACTATTTGTTTCTTTCGTATGGAGATAAACAAAATCAAATCACTTCTTCTACATATCTCACGTTTATATTAATTTCACATTACTTATTTTAAACTTGCAAATTATTAACACACTCTTCAAGAAAGCAGTATTGCATCTATGGAAGTCGGGTATATTTTGGGACTGTCGATTTTGCTCGCTCAGTTTTCTTGGGGAGAAAGGACCGTACAATAAAAATGAATGGCCAAGGCATTGCTTTGGAAACACCTAACCAAATGATCCTAGGCTTCATTTTACTTGCTGATGGGGTGTTTCAAATGGTCCAATATTCTTTTAGTATAGTTATTTCATTTACAACGTCAAGAAACGAATTTTAGATGTTTCAGAAATTTAATATTTTATCTCCCTCAATCACTAACATATAGTTGATTTTTTTTTTCATTTTTGCTTGCATTGTGATTTGGGAAGCATAACATTTAAATCCAAAAATATTAAAAATGGATGAAAGTCTAGATATTAATTGTATTAAGCGCAACTCTACTACTCCTATGCTATCTTCATATTTACCATTCAATACTTCAACCATGCTGTTGAACTTGAACCATTTCCAATTCTATATATATCCATCCTGCTTGTTTCCTTTCTCTCTCTGAGTTCTCTTTCATATGATCCAGCACTACGACTAGATTAGTGTAGTCAAATCAAACGTGACCGCGGCTGCTGCAGCTCCGATAAATCACCTTCTTCGTCTGATGCATCGAGGGAAAACCGAGGATCCTATAACATAGTCAAAGTCATTGGTCATTGGTAACTGTACTGGTAAAAGCACTAGTTCTTTGATAGCAGATGTGCTGATAGAAATATATATATATATATATATATATAGTATTTGCTGATTTCCCAAAACAAAAGAAAGAAAGAAAGAAATGACAGAAACCAACCAAATCCCAACCTGATGGTGTCGGCGACGTTGGATAGCAGTAAATGCCTTAACCATGATATATATAGGCAACATAATCCCAATGACTCGCAACATTAACAACTGTAGCATGCAGCCAAAACGTTAAGACACTTATTTGCAACGGTGATCAAATGACGCTATCTTGAAGTTGTAGAAGTAATAATTAGTTTAATTCCTTCTTACGGTGAACAATGTCAAAGAATAGTCTCCAGCACCACTGATTAGGATCGGAAGAGTGTGGCGCAGAACCAGAAGAACCATAAACTGCATTTAAGCATGTAGATGAATGACATTGTCATTAAAATTGGAATCATATATGTGAGTGTGTGTTTGTGTTTTCGTGTATGAGAGAGAGATACAATTATAGCGATGACACGACAACATATCAGGCTTTGAGAGCTGGGAGCCGAGTAATCATCGATGTCGGATTCCAGAAAATCACTATCATCAGTGACCACTGTTATAAAATGAGGAGTTGGCAGGTCTCTCCTGGAAATTTCCCAATTCCCTCTGAGATGACATCACAATTCTTTCTTAGTGAGTGAAGGGAAACAACTTCATTCTCCAAACAAGACTAGAATATGGCTATAAATACCTGAAGTTCATAGGAACACTTCCATAATGAAATAAAGGCGGCGGTGCTGTATAACCAGGCTTAAATTGCTATAAATTTGCGGATATTCCAACAAAAGGGAGTAACAATCAGTTTCTTACAATTCCAAAGAAAACGCCACAGTCGGATTATGAACCGAAAAAGATAAAACAATAGTCGGACCTGGTGGCAAATCTCGCATATGATATCGCCCTTTTCATTGCACCACCTCTGAACGCATTTGCGGTGAGCATACTGCAACAATCAAGAAAACCTGTTATCTCATTTTCAGCCACTCAAAACAAGTGACAAAGTTTGACAATGCCGATGTAAGAACGAAGAATGCTCCGAGGGCGTCATGTGGATGATCTCGGTGCTTTGCATGCCAAAACACAATAACCAATTTCATATACGAATATGACATTAATCCAAAAGAAAACAAGTCTATGAAGCGACTGATTCATCACAAGAAGTTACCATTTAGCAAAACAAGCAAACATGTTCAACTTTATCACATAGGCTTGGTCTCGATTTAGCATCATTGTGGGAAATAATAAGGCTTAAAATGGTTTAGCATGATGTTTCTGTACTGACATTACAATCTCAGGTAAGAAGCTGTTTGATCCGGAACTGACCTTCAGGCTGCCACGGCAAGAACAGGGTATCTCCATGTTCAAATCTTCTTCATCATCATGGCAAATCCTACATTCCACAAATTTACTTGGAAATGAACCAACATTGTCATCCATCCTACAAGATGACAAGTCAATTATATCATGTTTGTTTGCCGAGGGCATGCCTTGATTTGATTGGCTTCTACTCTCAATAGCAGCTTCAAGGGTTGATTCAGTTAGCAGTCGGTCCACAAGCAACACAAAATGATCTCCCATCCTTCAATTAATACCCCCAAAAGGGGGGAAAAGTTAAAACTGTAGAAATTAATAGAAGTTGCAGTGTATATTGAGATCACATTTAATCCTACAATTACTATATATACATATATATAAACAAATACGAAATAGTGGAGGTACCTTTGCAACAGTTAAAACTAAAAGCTGAATATGCAATGGAATAAAATCCCTTTTCGGTTAATGAACAAAAAAGTTGTAAAAATGCAAATAAGATATAAACTGAAAGTTGAAAAGAACATTATCCACTTTAAGTAAGAGTATGATTTCTAACAATGTGTTAATCAAAGATCTTTTTCATCAAGTAACTATTAGCTTACTTGTCAAAATAAAATTTCACATCCTAGAAGCCTAAAACAGCACAGAAGCATAAAGATCTGCCTTGATTCTCTTGGAAAGCAAATGTATCACTAGAAAATGCAGCATTGTTAGAAGCAAATGGAGTACATTAAAGTGATTTAAAGAAAAACAAAAGTTGGGTGGAAATGAACTCTCAAACAGAATGATTTTAGGTACAATGGGCAGAAACAATGGAAAGTACAGAAGGTAAATGATAAAAGATAAAAGAGCCTTTAACTAGAAAAAACAGAATGATAATAGAGACATGATACAAAAGCTGAGAATCCCAACAAAGCAAAGGCAAAGGATAAACAATATAGAAACTGAAAGCAAGAAATGAGATGAAAATGGAAAACCCAGATGTGAAATGAGAGGAGCAAAAACCCAGAACCCAAAAATCACAGATTATGGAGTAGGAGAGAGAGACAGAGAGACCCGTGTTCCAAAAAGGTATCAACTTGATAAATGAATCATTTAAAGTATAAACAAGTGATTCATCATTAACATTGTGCAGAAGCTATTAATGCAATGTAAAAACAAGAGGCTTACGTTACAAGTAATAAGGGAATGGAATTTTCTATTGAAGAAGAAAGCAACGATCTTTTCTTTCTTTCTTCTTTTTCCCTGTTGGTATTTTGTTTCATCAAATGAAGCAAGAGATTGAGTGTGGTCGTTATCACCATTCCCCCACGATCACCAGCATCAGCACAACTCCATCTTCATGCTCAAATTTTCAAACGAAAAACACGATTGGTTGCATTGATTAACACATTTTTTCTTTATTTCTAGCTGCTGTTCATTTTATGAGTAAAATCATGCCGTGGGACCAGGATGAAATAAGGTGAGAAATTGTAGTGAGACCACGTGTCTTGAATCCGGAACATTGGGATTGGAGCCTACTTTGGTGTGGAAGTTGAGACCACTACGAGACACTGGGGCAGTTATTACCCCCGTGAATCAATGGTTGATGTTCTTGCTTTTGGACAATATTTTTTTTGTTTGTTAAAAATCACGAAACTAAGCTTATTACAGTGACCACACAATAAATTTTAATTTCAATTTACTTGAGAACAAAGTCTATGGCTCGGTTAGACCGGGTCAAGATTATTGTGGGTTTAAATTCCATAAAAACTAGAGACTAAATTGTATTTTCTTGGATAGTTAAATTATTAAATCATATGCTTTTTATGCTCAAGTTTGCACAGTATAATTACAGAGATTGAATTTTAGCTTTGATGATAGTATTTGGATGGCGATGATTATAGGCTGTTTATTTTTATTTTCTGAATTAATCGTAGGGTCACATTTGGTGATAATAACAAAATTACATACGATCAATGACGTTTGGTTAATGGGGATTGAAAATGTATGTAAAAGAAAAAAATCTCATTTTTCAATCTAAGTCCGTCCCAATAGATTTAGAGGTCATGTGCTATATTTTAAAATGAGATTCCTAAAAGATTTTAAGACGAAATTATAAAATATCAAAATTTTCAATATTACGATTGTTTATTATAAAATAAAATAAATTCAAACATGTGAAACTAAGAAAATGTCATAAAACAATTTTATAATCGTGGTATTTTATTTAAAAAGTATCATCATTCGAATACCCTTAGAAGTACTATATATATTAAAATATGGGGCCTTCGAATTTGGGGTCATGTGATGTATCACATTTTATACTTACCGATGGACGGGTCTGTCTCAATCTTAGATGAATGATTTTATAGTGACTCTTAGTGTTAGTGTTAGGCCTAGAATCATGACTGTTATTAATAGGTGATTAGGTTTAATAGATATGGTCATCTGATAGTAGATTTAGCTCTAATAGATCACGTGGATCTACTAGTGGTTTTCTCAACAACAGGTGATAAGTTGTAGGATATGAAATTCCAAAGTCATTGATTAATGGAGGAGACCTGTCGAAAATCTCATCTTATTCCGGAGACTTTGATCATTAGAAGAGTTGTTCGCATAAGAGACTATGAAAAAAATAACAAGGTTTAAAGCTGAGAAATCTAAGTCTTAGATGAAATGCGTAAGCAAAGAACCTATCCCCATTGGTTGATACAAATGTAGGTGGCTTCCCATGGCGAGGTGGTTCTTGTATAGCATATATATTATTTGTATTTTGAGCAAGTGTCGGCAGTGGGCAGAAAATGATGAATGTATGGTTGCATGGCATAAATAGGTAGATTTAATGGGCACATGGAATCATGTCCAATGGCTAAAAGCCATACAAAATCATTGGCAAGAAAATCTCATGGGATGGGTCACACGCAGATTTGGGAGCATGTTCAAGTTTTGGTTGACAAGCCCTACCCCATACCTACTTTTAATTTCTGTTTCCATAATCACTCAACCGAAACTGACACACAATGCCCTTTCCCATTGGTAATATTACCAAAACCAAACAGCTTCTCATTGGCACCGGTCCTCAACAAAGCACTACCCATCAAAACAAACCCACGAAATTATCCAAAGATTGAACCATCAAACCAAACAATATTTTATAGTGGGCCGAGTCCAATAATAAATATATCTTTGCTTCAATTTTACGATCTTTTTAAAAACTCCCTTACATCCATCTATCTATTTATTTATAAAATAGTTATTTTCTTTTTTTAGTTTATAACTTCATTGATAATAAAAATGCTAATAGCATAACAATCAATGTTACAAAAGATTATTAGTTTCAGGTCAATAGGTTTATTTATTACACTTAACCTAGGGATGGGCACGGCCCCGAATCCGATAGGTTTCGACCCAACCCAACTAAATAGAGTAGGATTTAAAAAAAACAAGTTCGGGTTGGGTCGGATTCGGATTTTTTTAGAGGTGAAAATGATCTAACCCGAGAAAAATAATACCCCTCTCTATAAATACTTTTCATATAATGCATTTTATCGGACGCACCTTTGTTGATGTAATAGTTTGGTAGACGAAAATCTTACCTGATCTGACCTATATTTTTTTAACATTATGTTCTCATAGTGTTTTAATCGCTATTAATAATGATAATCATTTAAATAATGTTAATTTTTCATAAAATTAGGTTTAAGTAGAGATGAGCATAAGTTAGACTGAGTCGGATTTTCTATCAACCTAATAAAATGCATTATGTGAGAAGTGACGCGGTTTTATCAAAAGAGTACTACTTTCTTAAATAATTTTTCTAGATACTAAGAATAATAATAAAAAATAGAATTATTTGTATACAATTATCTTTAGAGTAAATAACCTCAGTAATCAAAAATGTCTTATAATATACGATTTTAACCAACTTTTTTTGGATTTGCCAAAATGACCAACTAAATCGCAATGCGATCGATAATTCGTAACGCGATCTCCGGTATCGCAAATCAGTTTCCAGATTCGCAACGCGAACTTTGACTATCGCAATGCGAATGTAAATCGCAATGCGATAGTCGAAGTTCGCATTGCGATTTATTCCAAATTCGACCACTACCACGACCACGACCCGACCCGAGACGAGACGGACGACGGCGGCGACGACGAGCGAGAGTCCCCCTTGTTCTCTATCACTCACCAAGGAAGTGGGAAAGCCAAGCTTTAAATACAATTTCCAATAGTGTTTCCAATACTATGTGGGATTGAGCATTACCAACACTTGTTTCCAATACAATGTGATTATTCAGTAAACAATTAACAATTATGCACCTTAAAACAACTGAATCAGCAACCAATTGCATTAGTATTATACGATTAAATATGTCATAATTAAAAGTCAATCTACAATCAATCGCGATTATTACAATTTTAAGCAAAACATTCAAAAATAATATCACTATTTAAGGCTCAATCCCACATAGTATTGGGAACAAGTGTTGGTAATGCTCAATCCCACATAGTATTGGAAACACTATTGGGAATAGTATTTAAGGTTTGGCTTTCTCACTTCCTTGTTGAGTGATAGAGAACAAGGAGGACTCTCGCGCGCCACCGCCGCCGCTGTCTCGTCTCGGGTCGTGGTCGAGGTAATACGTGTCTTCGACATATTCGCGCGAATACTATCTTTTTAGAGAAAATTCTTAAGAAACAAATGCAATACAATTTGGAATAAATAGCAACGCGAACTTCGACTATCGCAACGAACTTGGAATAAATCGCAATGCGATAGTCGATGTTCGCGTTGCGAATCTGGAAATTGATTTGCGATACCGGAGATCGCGTTGATAATTATCGATCGCATTGCGATTTAGTTGGTCATTTTGGCAAATCCAAAAAAAGTTGGTTAAAATCGTATATTATAAGGCATTTTTTATCACTGAGGTTATTTTCTCTTATCTTTAATAACAAGTAACGTCGTAAAATTCATTGATAATCAATGTTGTAAGAATAATATAGGTGATAAACCAAATTATATCATTCATTTTGGATTCAATAATAATTTAATAAAAATTAAAAAATATAAAAAAAACATTTGGAAATTATTTTAATTTTTTTATAACTGTTCAAATTATTGATTCTTTTTATTCTTCTTTCGATTCTGCTTCAATGATCAGATGAGTTGGACTATCAATCTCTGATTGAATCAGTTTAATCAATTGATTGGATTTAATTTTAATAATATGACAAAAAGTTTTGTTAAACAATAATTAAATTATTTTATCCTTCCAAAGAAATTTAAAGTTTATTTTTAATCTTTTAACATAAAATTATTTAAATCGAGATTCAACCTTCGATTATAAAAGATATCTGAGAAAAAAGTAAACTTTTTTTACTGTAGGTGAAGTACCAAGATCTCTTCTTACATATTAGAAGACTTAACTAAAACAGCATTGAAGTCATGAATTACAACAAAAGCTAGTTTGATTTATTTTCTTGATCCTTCATGTTTTATTCTGGGTGGCAGCGCCACATTCCCATCTCCTACTTGATGCTGCATGTAAACAAAACAAAATAAACTCAGTAACCAATTTTCAAAATCAAAGATTAAAAACAACAACAACAAAAGATTATGTGGAAGAAATGATTTACGTATCGCAGTTGACGGTAGGATCAATGGGAACTGGAACACTTATACCACACTTATGAGGAAGCTGCTTAGCTTTGTCGGGGATAACCCCGAGAGTAGGGCCAGCTTTCTCGAAACACCGGCACAACTCCCGACGTGCCAAAGTGGTGGTAGCGGATGCGGTGATGGTAGCCACCGCTTGACAACACGGAGGATCGGGACTGGCTACTCCGGTCGTCAAGTAAGGCTGGCAAGGCATCAATGCTGTTAGTGCATCTTGACAGGACATTGCATCAACAGATTTTGATTTCACAACCAAAACCATGATGAATCCCAAAACCCCAAGAGACCAAAACAACTTCTTCTCCATTTTTTTGTTTTTCTAATATTGAACTTAATACTCGGTGTGAAGAAAGCTGTGTTTGGTGCTCTTATTTATAGGGGAAACTTTGGATTCTCATTTGTAGATGTAATTAGTGTTTGTGCTGTCAATTTTTCCTTTTAGGAGATACCCTTGTTTTCATGTGATAAAAAATAATAATTTCTGGTTGAGTGCTGATTTGTACAAAATTAATGCTTTGTGGACCTATTGTGTCTCACATGGTAAATGTTTTAAGATTTTCATTTTAATGGTATAGGATTTTCCTAGTCTTTGATTGGGCTTACTACTTATAACAGTCTCTTTAAGTGGGGTCTATTTACACTGAATTATTATTTTTCACTATTATATTAAATAGTAATTTAATAGTTATTTAGTTATAATTTATAAAAGTTTTTCATTTTATATAATATTTTTAGTGAATTTAAAAATAATTTACTTATTAATTTTATTTTTCTTTCTTTTAATCTAATCTGTATCATATGATTTTCAATAATATTTCCTGTATAATAATATATTAATTGATCTTAAAAAATTCAAAATAAATATTTGTCGACAAAACTATTTGAATAAATATATATTTCAAAGAATTGGATTTTTTTTATAAATAAAGCATTGGAATTAGCGTTGTAAAATAATATAATAGTAATATCGTAAGTTCATAACTGATATTTCTATTGGGTCATTTCGTAACAGATGTTTCAAAGCATTGGAATTAACGTAATAAAATAATTTTAAAAGATAATATTATATTTGATACATATGCTTTAATAAAAAAAATATTGTGATATTTATACTTTTTAAAATGTTCAATGTGGCATTTTCTGATAAGATATTTAACATGATATATTTATTTTTAAAAAATATTTAATACGATACATATAGTTTTAAATTATCATTTGATACTTATATTTTATTAAATATCTAACATGGTACATAAACAATCATTTAACGTAGGATTATTCATAGATGGTTACGAGATTTTTTATCTGAAATGTAATTGTTAAGAAATAATTAACCGTTAACGGTTCATCGTTATCATCGGTTCGGTTATAGATTAATATATGATTAACTTATTATAATTATTTTTTTAAAAATAATATAACATAAATGTTTTAAAGTTTCATAATTCATATTATAAAAAAATATAATATTTAACACATACTTACATCAGTGTAAGTGAATAACATAAATGTTTTAAAGTTTCAAAATTCAACATCTTAGTTTCTAACAATAAATATATAATTATATTGATGTAATTATGTTTCTGTATTTTCAAATAAATAAAAAATTAAATTTATAAAAAATACATATTAAGTTATTTATGTATAAATTTTATTAAAAATATATATAAACTATAAATAATAGACATATGACATGGTGGGTGCTTGGGTGGTGGCGCTGTGGCTTCAAGTCGTAGAGATAGGAGTTGTGACCGACATATGACAACCTTCAACTGTTCAGGCGACCAAAAGCAACGACAATCAATTAAGTGATAAAGTGGAGGACTAGTTTTGCTGTAGAGCGGAGAGTGAGTGAAGATGTGAAATTGAAGACTGTCTGATAAGTTAAAGGAATAGAGCTAAAATTTACTTTTAATTATGTTAGTATTTTTCATAAAAAATATAATTATAAATTTAATTTATTAACGGTTAACAAATTATCGAAGTTCGTAACCGTAATTTTAACTGTTAATCATAATTTTAATAGTTTGGTTAACCAAAATTGTTTAGTGTTAATAATTTGGTTAATTAATATTTTAAATATAACGATTATATCAATTAACGGTTACGATTAATAATTATAAGTTTTTTTAACACTCCTAATTTAACGTACTATTATGTTATTTGAATTACCATTGTTAGTAAGTGCCAAATTAATCTCTGAGAATTCACGGTCACTATAACAATATATAAAATGATTAAGTTGATTTGAAGTCGTCATTGAACTTTAGATTATGCAGGTCGAAAAAAAAGTATTTTAAACAATTTAAAAAATATTTAAAAGGCATAAATCAATCTAAGTTTACCAAAAAATTCGATTTAAATAATTCGGGAGACGATTACGCCTGGGGAAGAAACATCACCACCACAGTGCCCAAAAATTAATACTTAATCACTTATACATTGTTGTGACAGTGGGAACTATAAATTCAAATATAAAATTAAAATATGATCAATTTATTGAACTTCAATTAATTTATTTCGAATTATTTATTAGAAAAATTCTTTAATTTGAGAAAAAACCTCGAGACTTGCACATCCTCCAATCTAAACTCTATCTCATATATATCTCGTATATAGAAGAATATTCCCTCCTCGTTATTATTAAAAGATTACAAATCGAAATAAAAAAATAAATAATTGCAAAAAAAATAACACACTATTTAAAGAGACATGCATTGTCATCACTTTAAAATAAATAAAATAAATAATATTGTTAATTTATATTAACTCAATTTATTTCAAGTTCACAATTTACGACGAGTATTCTCGAATGTGGATTCGAATATAAAATTTAATAGATCAACAATATCGAATATTTAGGTATTTTAAGAAAATACACATACATGGAGCACCATATTATATATTTAACAACCAATATTTAAAACTATGTTAAATTTTCAATTAAAAAAACAAATATCACACATTCACATGATAAAAAAGACTAAAATAAAATGACAGAAAACTACAAGGACCAAATCATGTCTCAGCAGAAATAACGAGGTTTAATCATGTAAATAAACTAAAACTGACCCTAAACAGTAATCATAATGTAAACAAGACTGAAATTAAGGACTTAGAGCATAAATAGTCATTTTCGCATATAATAAAGCAAAGGACTAAAATAAAATGAACCAGAAATTAGGAAGGATAAATGAGAATTAAACCTAAAGGCACCAATCTACAAAACAGTGATCAACATATAAGATTCGTAAATGTTATGGCCATAATTAAACATTAACAAAAATGGCATAATACGTAGAATGGTGACTTCAATATAAATGTAGAAAACTAAATGCTCGAAACAAAATATCACAAAGTTTCATTCGATGGCCAAATGGTGAAATTACAAAACCAGAAGGATCTAAACTGCTATTAACCCATGCGCAAAAATGTTCCCCTGACCCTCTCCCAAACGGCGCCGTTTGGCTCTTGATATATAGATTAACGTTAAAGGCCAAAAATGGCCTAAGCCATTCATTTTGTAACCATTTACATTTTTACCTAAAAAAGAAAATCTAATGAGCTCTCATCTCTCCCACACTTTTCTCCCTTTGTTTCTCGCCGCAAACGAACTGGCACCCCCGGCCACGTAAATCGGTGGCTCCGATGGTGGCCAACACCAAAAAAACCTCCCTTTTCCTCTCTTAGCCCTTTGGAAACCGAAAAACCCAAACCTTTCGGCCCTAAACCGCCCCTGAAACTAAACACCCCAAACCTAAAAGGTAAAAGGTTTACCTTCGGTGGTGGGGGTAAACTCTTTGCACCGATGAATCGACAGCGGTCGGATCTTGCTAAAAAGGTGAGATTTCTCTTTTACTTTCGTGTTTTCTTTTGGGTATTCGAAAAAAATGGCCTCTCCTTTTGTTTGTTTGTTTGTTGGTTGCTCTTTGTTGCTGATGGTTGATGGGTGTTTTTGGGTTTTAATCTTCTGTTTTGTTTCTGTTCGATAATGGGTTTCTTTTGGTTTTTTCAAGTGTTGTGTGTGACCTCGTTTTTGGTTTTGTTGTTGCTGCTTATCTCCTTCGGAAAATCAAAAGGCCTCCTTTAATATTTTTTTTCTTTTGTTTTCTGTTGATTTTTGGCTTTGCATGCGACGAGAGAGGTGTTTTCGTACATTCGTACGGGGAGGGCGTTGGCCCCCTGTTGTAACAGTGACAGAGTAGCTTGGCAGAGGCACACGTACGATGGAGGAGTTGTGGGGACCAGCTGGTGAGCGCGTGGCAGTTGAAGAACGCGAAACAGCGCGTTTGGTAGCTTGAACGGTCGAGCGTGTATTACACGCGCGGGCACATCGACGATCGAGCGTCTTAGGAGCGGTGGCGGCAGCTAGGGTAGATTACACGCGCGTTTTGTGTGTATTTAGACCGTCAGATTAAAGGGAACTAGATCTGACGGCTACGAGCTTATGATCTGGTCCGTTGAATGTCTTCAGATCCAAGGGTGGATGTTATACGGCGCTGGAAGGGTTATGATAAAACCTAATTGCTGTTGGGTGTTGCACGCGGGCCTTATCTGGGCCTTATCTGGATTTGTATTGCCGGTTGGGCATTGTAATGACTCCTGGGCTTCATTTGCATCATTTTGTTATATTTGGACCTGCTTATATAAATAAAAACATTAATGTTTATTTTAATTAGTACTTAATATGTATTCATAATAAACTATTAGGACTTAACCGAGACATATATATGTATATATATAATTATTATATATGTATAATAACAACTATCCTATCTAACAATAATAATTAATAATATTAATGACTTACTTTAATCCTAATGTAATAACTAACAATTTTAACTAGTATAATTTATTTAAAACAATTAATAAAGATATAGGATTGTAATTAGAATCCGGATGAAATTAGAATCTGTATGAAAATGGGTGTCTACAGACATAATTGTTAATTATATAACTGTTTATTACTTTTTAATTGTTAATTATATAATTTTGGATTCATCGTAGTTTTTAAATAACAAAATTTTTAAAATAAGTTAGCTTTTAAACGTTTCATTAAAATCATTTTTAAATAAACTTTTAAAAAATCATTTATCAAAACTATGTTTTTCAGTTTCCGAAATATGTTCTTAAGTTCTAGTTCTTAAAATGATTTTTGAGTTTTATCGAAATATTTTAAATTGCTGGAAAATGAATTTTAAGTAAGAAAAATAACAAAATCAAAGAATCGTTATTTGGATGGACCGATCCCTAATTGGAAAATTGATCCATTTTATTTTTTCAAAACTTTCTTTCATTATTATATATATGTATATTTTTAATTTGTTTAAGA